TAAAAACAATAAAAAAAATTGAGTATCTATCTGGTTAGTTGCAAAGAATTAGACCTGTTCGTGGGTTACTGGCTATTAAATATAATGTTCATGAAGACAAAAATTGAAACTGAGGATCCATACCCCTCTGTGTCACATAACAAACTATAAACTAAATAAATACACAAATAAATCCATTGCCGAAATGTCTCCCTCAAAGGAAACAATTATGAATTTTCCTGAAGAATATAGAGAGCAGTCTTCCTCAAATGTATTGGATTTTATAGACATTTAGGGTATCTAGAGAAATGCCTGCATCATCCTAAACTTTAATTATTCAATCTGTCTAATCTGTTAGGAAGGCAGTGAATAAACTTTTTTTTTTTGCTTATCAATGGAAAAACATGCTGAAAAAAAACTTTTAATGGAAGGAAGGATATGATGGTTATTCTTCCTTCCACAGTACTAATTTCCTCTGAAATTTCATCCTCATCCACAGAGAAGTTGAGTGTCCATTAATTAGTTTAATACTTTTGGGCAGCCAAATCTTGAAGAAAGTTTATGCCTAATACCCCCTCTGATTCTTAATTCTTATTTCTGAAACTCTTTCCAGTAATGTCAGCTTAATTTCATAACCAACACAACAATTGCAAAACAAACTTAACTGTGGCTATTTGGCACGTGGAACAGTGTTGAATTTCTAAAAGTTGAAGTCCAGTTTGGGGAAATTAAACCGGACTTCAGACTTGACCTTTTTGCTCTGTGCAGACAGCCAGAAGGGAATAAAAGCGTCACATTCTCTACTTATAATCTTTACACCTTAGCATATATAGGAAAATACGAGTCTCTGGAGCAAGAAGAACAGAAGAAAACTAAAGGAGATTTTAATATAAAATCTAATCTTAAATAAAATCTTAAATTATAAGTATTATGATGGATATTTCTATACTTTTTAATAAACAGAGAACTATCCACTGTAAGCCTTATTATGTTGATGTAGTCATTCATATTCCAGAGAATGTAATACTTCACCCATCATCAAATGAACCCCCCAAAATAGGACATGCATGGTCTGAAGGAGCTTACAGTCTGCATTCTGATGATTTTCAAGGATGAATTTGAGCTTTGTGGGAGAGACCATAATGCAGAAAATGCTTTCTCTGTGGGAGGGCCAAGGATATATTTCAAATGAAAACATGAGTCCCTTGATCTGCTTTCATAAGCCAACCTGTTCAAGCTTCTCAGTTGAACAGCAGGGCTCTTCAACAGCAAAGTTGCAGAATGCCTGTGTCAGAAATGTCTTAGATGTTAGGTCTTCTGATTTAGTACAGGTAGTCCTCAACTTATAACCTTTTCTTTAGTGACCATTCAAAGTTACAATGTTACTGAAAAAAGTGATTGATGACCGTTTTTCATACTTACGACTGGTTGCAGCATCCCCAGGGTCACATGATCAAAATTTGGGTGCTTGGCAACTGGCATGTATTTATGACAGTTGCAATGTTCCAGGGTCATGTGGATTACCTTTGGTGACCTTCTGACAATCAAAGTCAAAGGGGGAAGCCAAATTCACCTAACAACCATGTTACTAACTTAACGGCAGTGATTCACTTAATAACTATAGCAAGAAAGGTCGTAAAATGGGGCAAAACTCACTTAACAACTGGCAGTTTAGCAGTGGAAATTTTGAGCACAATTGTGCTTATAAATCAAAGACTAACTGTATATGGTACTCTTTTTTGTCCTTATGACCTATTAATAGAATTCATCACTGTGGTCCTCCATGTCAGTACAGACACCAATTTTCTGTGACAAAATGTTACTTGCTTTGGTGAAAACTACCCTACAAGGTTCCATCCAAAAAAGGTAACAAGTTTAAAAAATGGCTGGAAGAAACACTAATGATAGAAGTAGAGCTAAAATCAGAACTCTTCCTACTAGGCATAACTACGCAGAAATACAACAAAGGGATACTTTACTTGATGCTACATATTCTCACGGCTGCTAGATTGGCGTATGCACAAAACTGGAGGAATAAAGAAATTCCAACAGAAGAGATTTTATATAAAATCCTATCGTGTGCTGATATGGATAGGCTCAGAATGGAAATGAAGGACAAGACAGAGTCAGATTACTTTGAAATCTGGAACAAATTCTATTGGTGTGAATCAAGGAGAACTGTTCGGGTTTTAAGTTAGTGTTAAGATAGAGATATAAAAAACTGTATGTTAGTATATAGAGAAACAAATTAGAGCTGTATTGTATAGAAAAATATGTATATACAGTATATAGAGATTAAGAATTATATGTATGATGAGGAACAAATTGTTAGGAATATATACACTGGAATGTTACGTTATGTCCATCTTTGTTTTAACTGTTTTATAAATAAAAACCTTTTTTAAAAAAAGGTTCCATCCCAAAAAGGTGCCGGAACTCCGTTCTGGGCGTTCTGAGAAAAAAAGCCCTGGTGACAACTACTCCAGTTATTCAAGCGGAAGAAGCTTCTCATGAGACTTGCAAAGCCAGCTTCACCTGGGCTGGTAGAAAAGGGTGGATCAAGTTACATTACTGGAAACCCCATGATTGCAGACAGACAAGGGAAAAAAACCTGAGGTGTGTGATCCCAAAGCTTGGGGGAGGAAATGACAGAACAGTCCCTTTTTACAATGTAGTAAAAATAGTCTTAAAGAATCCCGGATGAAAGGATCATGCTTAACTATGGTCTTCTTCTGAACACCGAAGTAGAATGGTGTTCCATAACCCTGGTTCTGAAATGCTTGTCTTCAATTCCAGATCAGAAAAAAAAATTCTAGCAATCCAGATTCAATGACTCCTGGAATTAAAAAGAGGTCCTATGGCCAAGCCCCGATTTAATGTATTCCACAGAAGGCAGGTAGCATACTATACTTTCAGCAATAATTGAATAGCTAAATATAATGTATTGTATGGTTTTTCTATTTGCTAGGAGACAGGATAGTATCTTTTACAATAATAACCACTTTGGAAAAATACTGGTGGTTGAAACGTCACAAATTTAACTCCAGCTGACCTTTTCAATCCTAGGATTTGCTGCATAAATTAATCTAGTGTTTCTTCAGTTTGGCAACTTTTAAGATGTGTGAACTTCAACTCCTAGAATTCCCCAGCCGGCATGCTGAGTCAAGAAATTAAGAGGACAATTGGTAATGTTGACTCACTCCCTTCTCTCCCTTCTAAACCACTCCCTTTCTTCAGGCTCAATTAGTGAGAGATTCTTCAGTTCAGGTCTTTCAGAATAAGCCAGTGTTCTACCATTCTCATTGGCGATGTATTTCATATTCTGATGTCATCTGGTCAGTACAATCAGAGAGTTTGAACTTTGTTGTAGCAAAGATAAATCTCTTTTGTTATACTCATTCTATCTCCATTATCCATTTCTGTTTGATATCATGTCCCTTTGCCTTTTCTGAAACTTGCCTATTCATTTAGCATTTTTCTCTCCATTCTGTATGCTCCTTTGCAAGCCTTTAAACAAGGCTTTCCTTGGATAAGAAGTCAGTGTAACTAATAATTTGGACATTCTCCTGCATCTCCCTTCTTCCCTAGAGGGACATATGCCAGTCTTCTCCAGCTTCTAGCACACAACCTTGTTCTGTATTTATAAACACAGACCTTTAAGTAGTGCTGTGTATGCTTTGAATTTATTAAATTTAGTCCATCTCTTAAAGCATCCACAACTCTTTTCAGATTTCATCAAAACAACTGAAAAACAACAGTATATTTCAATGAATAACTAAGACATGCTGGGGTTTTATGTATGGTGTGAAACATTTTTTTCTAAATATTTTCAAAGTGTGCATGGCCTTATCTTTAATGATTTGACTTCTGATGTTTTAAGCAGTAAAATAGGCATGTTCTTACTGAACAGCTGATTTGTTGTCTGAGATGTCAGTTTTTAGAGCAAGTTCCTAAATCTCCTTATAAATGTTTCCATCCTTCTTTAATCTAGTTTGTAAAAAAATTTCTTTTACTCGGTATCCTTTGCACCTTGAAGGCCTCTTTCATGATTTCCCTTAAGAATTCCCACTTTAGATATGTTTGTATGTCTGTTTATTTATTTATTTTAAACCTTTGCATAACTTGCTATGTTAACCTAACTCTGGGAAGCTTCCAATCAAGAATAAAGCAACATATACATAATAAAAACAAGAAACAATAAAACCAGTAACTCCAAAATATAAAAGCCTGGCACATTCCCCGATGCAACCATCATATTCTCTTTCACTCTAACCTCACCCTATTCCTAATCGTTGGGGGGAGAGCTACGTTTTAAATGCTCTTCTTCTTACATTTTCTTTTTATATTTATTCATCTGTTGACATTCTTAACAGAAAGACCTTTTTTTTTTAAATTCTTTGTTTGACTTTCGAAGTCTGTCTTCAGTCACTGTTACATTCTTCTAGCAGCCCAAGTTTTTCATCCTTTGTTTTTTGCCTGGCTATAACAATTGACTGTTCTGAAAGCAACTTGATTTTTTTTCCTCTTTGAAATGTTCGGATTTTTTTTGGTTCAGTTGTTCAATATTTATTCAATTATTATAGTGTCTCTTGGTTCTTCTCATAGCAATTCATATTCTTTTTTACACAAATTAGATACATGGAAGTTGTTACAGTCAGACTTTAAGATCAATATATATTCTCCACAGCTTATTTTTTGACATACCTTTCTCTTTAATGTGCTATGTTTAACCTGAATATTTGAAACCAGCAATTCATGGTATGTTCTACAATAGAAATCTGGAAACTCATAGCCAGTTGGATTGTACTTTTCCATCTTCTATTTCCTGTGTTGTAGTCTACTTGATTTCATTGTTGTCCATCATAGATGTTTACTTGCTAGCCATTAATTTTGACAAGATTTTATCTTGTATTTGATTTTAGCTGAGCATGTACTTAAATATTTTAGATACCAAAGTTGGTCCATTCCTTTTTATGGACTGAAGCCACAAACCATCTAATTGTCTGAATTAAATTGGCCCATTCTGGTTCATAAACATTCCTTTATTCTTAGGACATCCAAAATAGTATACATCATATCCATTTTGACAATTTCAACTTTTCCTTGATTTTCCTATTCCATGTTCCAACTGAAAGAAGAAATTAGGAACTGTTCCTTCACTGCACAACGCCAAAAATGCACTGCTTGCTTTAAAAGAAATATATAAAATGTACCAAATTGTCCAACCAATGAACTCTTATGTTTTTTTCTTAATATAACCATCTGACAAAAATGCTGTACTGTAAATCTTTGTAAGAATATGTGGCATCCCATGTTATATCATCTCAACACAATAGTACAGAACATCAGTCTAACTCCTATATTAAATATCCTTGTGTGACTTCGAACAGGAAGCAAGTCTCAATTATGCAGATGAATACAATATAGGGAAAATACCAACTTCATTGGGAATAAAACTATTTCCAGGAAATGAGTATGTCCAGACTCAGTGCTTAAAAAAATGTATAAAAAGTAAGGAGGAAAGCCTTTGGAAGTGAAAGAAAAGGATGGGCCAGCAAAGAATCAAGCAAACACAAAAGGTAGAAGCTACTCTATTCCTGGATTTCTCTATTCAAGCAAGTCAATAATTTGTCTAACTTGAATAGAGAAGTCTATGAATGCTTCAAGGAGGCCTGGTCTTGAAACAACTCAGTTTTCTGATGGAGAACTAAACTATTCCCTCAAAAAGACATAGCAACTGGGAAGCAATCAATTGTCAATGCTTAAGCATTCTCACCTGAGGCTGCCATGAGAACATCTATCAGAAGATGAGGAAAACTTTGGTTCAAGGAAGTATGGTTTTATATAAATGTATAAAGCATTATCACATAGACAACGTGTTTGTCAAATTATTATATTAATGCAGTAGCATGCAGTCAGTATATTGGTTGGGACATCTGGTACTTTCATTATCTATACACTGAGATCCTTCCCCCCCCCTAATTTTATAAAATTATAGAATATAATCCTGGCACTTGAAAATCAACTACTCTACTCCACTTCCCTGTGCATTTCTGGGGAATATTACAACATTTATTTTATTTTATTTTTAAAATTTATAAGCCGCCCCACTCCCGAAGGACTCTGGGCAGCTAACAATAAAAACACATAAAACATAACAAAACAACAATACAAAAACAATCATCCAGGGGTAAGGTTTTATAAACCCCAGGCCTGCCGGAAAAGCCATCCTTAACAGAAATTATGTATTCTTCTCTAGGAGGAGGAGGCGACACTTGAAAAATGCAATCATTCAAACCATTATAGAATCTGGTCATGAAGCCTGGTAGCATCCAACCCGACACAAATCTTGTTATGTATCCAGCTTGGATAAAGAGCACAGGAGATCTCCTGCAAGCCCTAATAATCCTTACTGGAACACCAGAGCAAAAGGATCTTGTTCCTCGAAGAAACTTTTTTTTTTTTTCATTTTACATTTCAGAAGTGTTTATTTTTCATTCAGATTGTGGTCTGTCTTTTTTTCTTCTCAGGACCAAGTGATGACAAATTCCTCCCCCATCAGCAAAGAGAGTGGAATAGTAAGGACCTGAAGAAGTGACAGGAGAAGTTAGTTACAATTGCTGAAAATAGTATCCTGTCATCAATGTGAGAAACATTATGCACTGATATAACTTGTGTGGCTATGAATGGCCCTACAAAGCTGAGGAGAGAACTGGAGCTTTAGGTGGTGCAGTGTTGCCTCCTCAACACACCAATGCACTTATCTGCACTGAACTGAAAGTTAATTGGGATATCACAAACCACATACAAGCTCCTCCGATGGGACTTCTGCAAAGTTTCTGCAAAGGCCATAGACTTAAATGTGTCCTCAGCAATTAATGGAGGTTACTGTTTAGCACTTAAGAAAATAATCTATTATGACAGTAGTTGCCTTACAAAACTAAACAAAAATACACATCCAAATTGATGAATAAAAAGGATGTGTGCAAACTCTCTTCGTCGACATTTTATATCATTCGGAATACAGGCAGTCCTTGACTAACCATCACAAATGAGCCCAAAATTTCTGTTGTTAAGCAAGACAATTAAATGAGTTTTGTCCCATTTGATGACCTTTCTTGCTACGGTTGCTAAGTGAATCACTACAGCTGTTAACTTAGTAACACAGTTGCTAAGTGAATCTGGCTTCCCCCATTGATTTTGCAAAAGGTGATCACATGACCTTGAGACACTGCAACCGTCATAAATATGAGCCAGTTGCCAAGTATCCAAGTTTTGGGGACACTGCAACTATTGTGCGAAAAACGTTCATTAAGTCACTTTTTTCAATGCCGTTGTATCTTCGAACGGTCACTAAATGAATGCTTTTAAGTTGAGGACTATCTGTATTGGTCTGCTGCTAGCTGGGTAGAAGATACAGAAAAGAATGCTGCATTAATGCTGGAGAGGGCAACAGTTCTGGGGCTGAGGGCCATATTCAGCCTTATGCAGCGAGGAAGAAAAAAAAGCAAGACAAAAAACATAATTAAGTGCAAAATAAATATATGCCTCCTGGCTCTAGTAGTATCTTCTAGGGGACCGGGAAGAATATTTTCCTTCTTTTCAATTGCTCCAACCATTTTTTCCTATGTATATCTCAAGCACACTCAACCTAATTTATTACTGAGTGGAACATTTTAGTAAAGAAAAAGCATCGAAAAGATAACTAATTCAAGAAATGTCAAGTTTAACTTTGTATGAAGTTCCCCAAGAGTCTTTCAAAGGTATCCAGAATATTTGTCAACTTTTGTTTCTTAACTTTGAAATGCACTCAGTTTCCAAGCAAAGGATCACCGATAAATAGCCAGGCAGTTTGCTACTTCAGTGTCACAGAAGGAAAGAGTTTTGGGAGCGTCACTAAAGCTGGAGGAAGCATGCATTCAGGAATGAGTTTCCCACCTCTTCCTTCAATAGTGGAACTAGTTCTGAGAATCCTAGGAAGCTTCGTTCATAACTATCATCTCCAAATACATTACCTCTGCAAAATGTTTATGTAATAATAATAATACTACTAATAATAATACTAATACTACTACTAAAAATAAAGTTGGAAGGGACCTTGGAGGTCATCGAGTCCCACCCCCTGCTCAGGCAGGAAACCCTATACCATTTCAGACAAATGGCTGTCCAATCTCTTCTTAAAAACTTCCAGTGTTGGAGTATTCACCGCTTCTGTCAGGAAGTTTCTCCTTAGTTCTAGGTTGCTTCTCTCCTTGATTAGTTTCCATCCGTTGCTTCTTGTCCTGCCCTCAGGTGCTTTGGAGAATAGCTTGACTCCCTGTTCTTTGTATTTATACTATATTATATTTGTATTTATATTATTTGTATTTATTTATGTATTCAATTTCTACAGCTGCATAGCTCAGTTAATGACTTTGGGTGGGTTACAATTCCAAAACAATTAAACAATAAATTATATTGATGAAAGAATCCATATTTGTTGGATTGGATTCTCATGCAGAAACCTTCTGCAGTGCAAGAAACACACTTACCTTGGTATCAGTGCGGTAAGAAAAATTCAAGACAGGGGTATCATTTGCCAGGACCTGATGGGGTGGGCTGGGGACACCTAACACCAGCACCTGTATCAGAAAGAGCCCATCTATGTGGCTGCTGAGTCGCACAATCTCATTCATTAGCACACCCTGCAACAAGAAGAAAAGGAGAAGCTGATGCAAATAGCGCAGCAATAGGCAACCTTCAAGGTCAGGGATCAACATTTTGGAGAAGGCAAGGCACGCAGCGGGTGGAAATTCAATGGAGTCATGATATTTAGATGCATAATAATATCTAGATTTTTCTGAGCTTTATCTGTTTTTGGAAGTATTGCCGCATGTAATTTTTTTTCTGTTGTGTCATGGTGATGTATGTAGTCCTACTGTAGTGCAGCCAAAGACAACTTCTAGATTCGATGTAATATGGCATGGTAGTGAGATCCCACAAAGTCTTTCTCTTGGTTTTTCTTTTTTTTTTTTTCTATATATTTGGCAGTGCTAATAAAAGACTTATAAGCAGTAAGCAGTTAGATCCTCAAAGAGTCAGAAGAAGGGAAGAGGAATTTTTAAAAACTGGCAGGATTGAAATATAAGCATAAGAAAAGGTTTGATTATTAACACCCAATAATATATACTTCAAGTGCTTTGGAGGGTGAAAAAGTGGGCAGGTAGCACCTGTCTACAACCTTGTACACCTTTCCTAGAATTGCACAGCAACTGCAGAGACAGCTCTTACCAAACAGTCACTGGAGATACAGGACTGCATGTTTAGAGGGTGCCTGATTAAGAATGATCTTTAGAAAGAAGCATCCGGCTAAGAAATAAGGTGTGAGAAATGCACAACTCTCAGCTTTGTTTTCATCTCTTGGACAACCTTACTACAAGAAGGCACATTTATTAAGGTTGTTAAGGTGCTGCCTATGTGCTAATCAACCTTCCCTTTGGAGACAACTGATTCTGCCCACTGTCTTTCCATCCAATCTCATCATAACTGATCACTCTGCCCTTTAAAGTACAACCCGCAACCCTCCATCCTGTGGAACATTGTCCCTGCATTGATACAATTGGCCTCCACTTTGACAGTCTTCCACAAGATCCTGAAGACATGCCCTGCCAATGGATCTAGGGACCCTAGAGTGATATGGAGCCCATCAAGTGGCTCATATGTTTGTTGTTGCTAGGGGGTGTTACTGGTTTTTTGTTATTGTTTTTTTGTTATTGGGGTTTATCCTTGCAAGCCACCTGGAGTCAACAAGAGTGAGCTGGGCGGCAATATAAATTTTCTTAAATAAATAAATAAACCCACAAAAGTCCTAAGAGCCTTTTCTGAAGTGAACATCAACTACTGGAAATCTTATCACTTGCACTTAATATATAGTATTTAATACCCAAAGCTCAGCCACTCCTGACTGTCCTACTTTTTGCAGTGTGACCAAGAGTACACCTGCCAAAATTCATGTGTGGCTGTTGGCCATGAAAAATGGCAGAGCCCTGCTTTTATTGTAGTCATAATTCAGCTGTAGAAGGGCACCAATGAAGAGCAACTTGGCCAGTGAGAAAGCAATCCTTGTATTCAAATGGGCTTAGAAAGTCTACAGGAGTTTTCACCATATTGTACCTTGCCATCTCATCTACTGCCCTGCTATGACACTATTATGCAGATATTTTGGGGTATTCCGATAGGAAAAGAAACAAGATACAGTTAGTCCCCGACTTATGACTACAATTGAGACCAAAATTTCCATTGCTAAGCAAGATAGTTGTTAAGTGAGTTTTCCCCATTTTACGACTTTTCTTGTCACAGTTAATTGAATCACTGCAGTTGTTAAATAATATGGCTGTTAAGTGAATTTGGCTTCTCCATTGACTTTACTTGTCAGAAGATTGTAAAAGGTGATCACATGACCAAGGGACACGACAACTATCATAAATATATGCCAGTTGCCAAGTGTGCCAAATTTTGATCACGTGACCATGGAAATGTTGCCACGATTGTGTGAAAAACAGTCATAAATCACTTTTTTCAGTGGTTGTCAGTTGAGAACTACCTGTCCTTGAGGTAACCCAAAATAGGAAATAACTGATTAAAATGTAATATGTTCTGGCTAGCATAGTTTAGCTACCGAGATCAAATTTGTTACTTGAACACTCACATGTGTTGCCAGAAAGAAGATCTGTGTGTAATCACCCTTCTCAAAGGTCAGCAGACCTTCACCATCATCCCAGAACAAATCTCCTCTGGCTACCCCTTCCAGTGTCAACGCCACGATGAGCGTCATTCCATTCAAGCGGGACTCTGTGGTTGTGAGAGCAGGTTCCTGGAGAGATTTGCAGTAGAAGAAGAAGCTCTATCAAAGCAGAAGGGCCTAAAAGCCATCTTCACTTTAGTTACATTTCCTCCCCCACTCCTCCCATCCCAAGCAAAAAAAAAAAAATTTTTTTTAAAAAAAACAAAGCATTCTATCCTGAGAATCTTGCAGCAATATTGGGCTGCCATTCTCCTATTTTCTGGGAAAGTAGCAGGAGAAGAACTGGCATATTAGACCCACCTGCAAAGGAAGAATGTGACCTCCACGGATGTGGACGTTGATCGTGTCAAGTGGAGCAGGTAGGAGAATCCATTGTCCCTTGCTGTGGATGACGGATCCCTGAAGACCCACAGATATAAAAATCATATAATTAAGACAAGGTTTGTATTACCAAAGCAACAATCAGACAAGGGAGACTTATGTTCATTCCAAGAAATTAACTTGAGAAAAATCTCAGGCAGTGAATTACACAAAGGTAAAATAAGGGAGGAGGGAAGGCACATTCAGACTTACAGGATTCTGTTACTGTAGCTGTTCTAATTAAAGAGGTTTTTAGACCTATATGGCATTGGTTTCTTAGTCTGGCTTAACCCACAGGGCTGACACTATAGACAAAAGTACCCAGAACAACTTCTCTTAGCAGAAGAGCAGGCACAAGACGATGGAACAGGATTAAATGGGTCAACTGCTACCATCTATGTAAACTCTGCGAAAGTTTAATGGCTGATTAAGGCAGAGAGTCAAAGACATTCCATCTGAGCCTCCGTGAATGCCGAAAGCCACACTCACCGTGGTGATATCGTACCATGTCCCCAAAGGAAAATAGCCAGCAATTTTCCTTATCCCTTCTTCTAACACAGGAGTAATGAGGAGCCCAGCTCCCCACATGAACTGTCTATCAATGGTCCATGTATATGTGTCTTGTGGGAACCTGCAAGAATGATAAAAGTACATGACCACACGACTTCAAAGAACTTCTGGCAATCAAGGATAAAAAGTCATTACAAGAGATCTCCCTCCCACGTGTAGATCTATTTCCTTCAGCCAGAACTGAGCAAGAGTACCACCACATCCTTCTTTGAGGACAGGTAAAAGATTTCAAAATTGTCTGCCAGCCTTGTATCCCATACTTCCTCCAAGTCTTACCCAGCCTGTCGTTGAACTCCCACCATGATGGCAGTTACCTTAAAACTCACTTGGAAGATCATTGGTGAAGGCTATTTTATAATAATTCAGAAGCTTTTGCTCCAGAGCATTTCAATCAAATGTTAGCTGAGATCCATTTGGGCCATATCCTCCCTCACAACACAGCCGTCCCCTGACTTACTCAAAATAAAGAGGACGGGCTACTGTCTCGCCTGTGGAGTGGGCCTTGTGGAACAGGGTGTAAAGGTAGGGCAACAGAGAGTAGCGCAGGGAAAAGGCTTTCCTCATGGCTTGTTGGGCTTCCAGGCTGAAGGCATATGGCTCTTGAGACTGCAAAGTAGACAGACAAGAAATGAGAGCTATTGTGTTACCAGTTCCTGAGGTAAAAAAGGCATTTCTTCTATTTACAGATAGTCCTTGACTTACAACAGTTCCTTTAGTGACGGTTCAGTTACAACGGCACTGAAAAAAGTGACTTATGATCATTTTTCACTTATTCACACCATTCACATTTTGCAGCATCTCCATGTTCACATGATCAAAATTCAGATGCTTGGCAACTGGTTCATATTTATGACGGTTGCAGTATCCTGGGGTCATGTGATCACCTTTTGAGACATTCTAACTAGCAAAGTCAATGGGGAAGCCAGATTCACTTAACAATAGTGGCAAGAGAAGTCATAAAATGGTGCAAAATCACTGAACAAATATTTCACTTAGCAACATAAATTTTGGGGTCAGTTGTGGTTGCAAATCGAGGATGGCTTGTATGGCTTGATGGTGGAATTCAGGAAGTTCTTTTCCATAATGAATCTTTTTTCCTTCCTGCTACTAGCACGTTCTCCCACACATGACTCTTGCACTTAACAAGAATTGAGGCATTAAGGCCTAGTTCACACCATACACTAAAGCCATGCCCTGCAATTAAGAAGGAATGTGGAAAGAGAGATTAGTCTTTTCACACAAGTACAAAAACTATTGTTATGGCCTCCTATGGCAATCTGTATTTCTTTGATTTTCAAATATTATACTGTCTTAGAGCTTCTCATTCAGTATTCTTGGATCACTAAATTAACTTTTGATGCCTTGATTGGATAAATACATATTACACACTTTTTTATTTTTCTTATTATAAAGCTAGATGTTATAGTATGCTCCAAATAGAAAGAGGAATGTATTTTCGGTTTTAAGAGAGAAAAACCCAAACATATAAGCATCACTTATTATTTGCTTGTTTGCAGTGATTTCTATTTAAAAGCTACATCATCACTGATTTACAATGAAAGTAAGAACACTAGCCTTGGCTACAAACTTGACAGGAAAAATCCTAACAAATTGAAGCCTATTTCAATTTTCAACTTGTTGAAAAGTTCATGGACTTTCCTTAACAACCTTTCTTTGTACCCAATGTTTGATGTAAGAGAGACCAATCAAATTCTAAGAAACGGTTTACCCCCCCCAAATTCCCATATATCCTGTTTAAACTTACTAAATCAATTTCCTAAGTCTGGTACCTCTAGATATAGTGAGATTATCAGTCCCAGAATTGCCTACAGGCTGCTACTGTTTTCCAGTTTGTTACAGCCTCTCCGATGAAAACAATGGCCTGGCTAATGCACAGTTCTCATGCTTACCTTGCTTCCGCGGTCATTGTGGTTTCGCATGAAAGGATAGAATGCACCCAGTTGGGTCCAGCGCACACACAGCTCCTCCGTCGTGCTGTTCAGAAATCCACAGATGTCAGTCCCAACCAATGGCACTCCATAGAGATTGAAGAGCAGCATTGCTTTAAAAGGACAGATAATGTGGATTAGGAAAGACCCTGAATGGTAAGCTCCAGAAAGCAGTAGGAGAAATGTTGATGTTCTACAAGAGAGGAGCCACAATATTTTGCTTGCCAGATGATGTCTTTTTCTGATATGTTTTTCTTTCCAAAGGAAATATAGAACACACACACACGCATGATAGACAGGTACAAATTTGGAGAGGTTCACAAAGTGGTTTCTACAAATGCTTGTACCTGGTATACTGTAGTATAAATGTTCCCAAATGCTTATGACGTCCCCTGTCCAATGGCCAGCATAGCGTCCGTGGCTGGCAAAGGTGGAGCGTGAGATCACAAATGGACGCTTCCCTCGCACTTTCACCAAAGCACTGAGAACAAAAAAAAAAAAGTATTCAAATGACCTTGATGGATTTGAAACCCGAAGTTTTCACACTTCTAACTGCACAACGTTTAGAAAATACTGAAAACACCAGAGTCATGGGTTTTGCCATAATAAATCATAGCCTTTTAATTACTAGCTTGGTTTCAGTTTGCTGTTGAGGTAGGTAATCCCATTCCCCCATACCAAAATACATTATAGGTAGTCCTTGACTTATGATTATAATGGAGACCCAACATTTCTGTTGCTAAGTAATAATAATAATAATGATGATGATGATGAAGTTGGAAGGGACCTTGGAGGTCATCTAGTCCAACCCTCTGCTCAGGCAGGAAACCCTATACCATTTCAGACAAATGGCTGCCCAGTCTCTCCTTAAAAACTTCCAGTATTGGAACATTCACCACTTTTGGAGGCAGGTTGTTCCACTGGTTAATTGTTCTAACTGTCAGGAAGTTTCTCCTTAGTTGCTTCTCTCCTTGCTTAGTTTCCACCCGTTGCTTCTTGTCCTGCCTTCAGGCGCCTTGGAAAATAGCTTGACTCCCTCTTCTTTATGGCAACCCCTGAGATATTGAAACACTGCTATCATGTCCCCCCTCGTCCTTTTCTTCATTAAACTAGTGAGGCACTTGTTAATTTTACACCATTTTTTTTGCCATGGTTGCTAAGCAAATCACTGCAGTTGTTAAGTGAATCATGCAGTCATTTAACTGAATCCAGCTTTCCCTCCCACCCTCCATTGACTTTGTTTGCTGGAAACCAGATGGAGAAGGTCACAAATGGTAATCACATGACCCCACTACAACACTACAACTGTTGTAAATACATGCTGATTGCCAAGCAATCAAATTCTGATCACAGGACTGTGGGAATGGTGGGTTGGCGTTAAGTGTCAGTAAGTGGTTATAAATCACTTTTTTCAGTGTTGTTGCAACTTTGAGCAGTCGCTAAACAAATAAGTCGGGGATGAGCTATGTCTTTAATTTGTATAAAAAAGGCACTCCATCTCTTGGGCAGGATCAAAGGAACACCTATTCCCTTTCATACTCACTCATGTGTTGCAATGGTTTCAGTCAACCCATAAAGACTGTGCAAGTTATAGTGGGAAGACAGCTTCTGCCTACTGGAGGCACAGAGGGTTTTTGCCTTCAAGGTTCCCCCTAGTATTCCTGAAAATATATGGGGAGAAATACTATATAACCAGGGTTTTTTTCCTCATACAATACTCAGAACAGAGCTCTGGCACCTTTTTTGGATGGAACCTTATAGGGTACGCAAGGCAGGTTGTATGACGTGAGTTCCAGCACTTTTTTTTTTTTTTTTAAGAAAAAAAGCACTGTATATAACCAATGAAATTGTCGAGACTGCAAAGCAAAGGATGTGCGAGATGTGCAGAACTGAGTGTTTAAGATGTCACAGTGACCTTTGGATCCCTGCTTCCCAGCATAAAGACATCCCCTTTGGATTACTTGCATCCTGGGTTTTATAGGAAGCAGGCTGTAGAAGTTTCACAGAGCGCTCACTAAGAAATGATTCCACATCCAGTCCCAGAGTTTAAATTAAAATCAATATAATCCAACTGGACTTGACCTGAATGCTATAAGCCAGCGGCCCACAGCCTTTTAGGTTCTGCTGACCGGTAGCAGTAGTGGTGGCAGAGGGAGGAGATGGTTTCATGCGTGTGTGCCTGCTGCTTGCACAAATAGAGCTTTGCATACTCGCCCGCCACATGTGTGGTCCAGTTCCCAATCAGCCACAGGCTGATACCGGTCCACGGAGCAGGGGTTGGGGATCCCTGCTATAAGCCATTTGGATCAGCTCTGAACTGGGTGCCCCCAAAACTAAAAACATTGAAAAAAGCCAACAAGTCTTCTTAAATATCCAGATTCAAGTATTTGCAAAGGTAGGCCAAAGAATGTCTGAATGATCGGAATCCATGTTTGCATTTTTCAAAAGCCACATGCATCCAGTGCTTATGTATCATTTGTAGTATAGTCATATATAACATTCATATGCCCACAATGTATTTCAGTCAACAATACGTTTATTTTACATATTGAACTAAAAATCAGTAGGAAATACGCTACTAAGTATATTCTTCAATTTTATTTTAAATCCCTGTAAATTGTACTCCAAACCTTTTTCACTATAGCTTATTTAGCAACATTTTATTGTTCAACTACCTGGCAGATATTTGCCAGAATTTTTGCAATGTCCTCTCTTATTAGAAGCAATTAGTTGTCTGCGTATTTATTTAGTAAGTTGTTTTATGCTCAAACAGAGGGGAAAAAACCCCAAATCCAAGACGTATTGGATTACAGTTCCATCCAATTACTTAAAGAGCCTCTTAAATCTACTGTGGCTGGTTCACACAGCATTCTAAGACAATAGGTAATCTGTTTCATTTGGTCATGATAGGATGTGTGAATTCAGTCACTGCCATTTGTAAAATAAGGTTCAGGTTTAATATTATGTATAAATCAGAACACTCTGATTTGTTCAGTTATAGTTAACTGAACAGTTATAGTATAGCGAACCATAGTTTAAGGCAGGGGTAGGCAACCTTGGCTCTTTTATGACTCGTGGACTTCAATTCCCAGAATTCCTGAGCCAGCATAGCTAGCTCAGGAATTCTGGGAGTTGAAGTCCACGAGTCATAAAAGCGGCAAGGTTGCCTAACCCTGGTTTAAGGCAATATAAAAGCTAGACACACAAACATGCACACACGCCTAAGAATCACTGAGTGGGAAGACAGGTTCCCATCTTATTTATCATCTTTATCAAGATGACTGTTAACTAAACTGGAGACATGTTTCAATAAATTTAAATTTCAAACAAATGGAATATAGTACGTATTTCAGGTGTGGATTTTATTCCACTGTTTGTCTTTCTCCATCCCTCAAATAATTAATTTCATTTTTTTTCTTAGTCCTCCAACTAGACCATATGTTTGCCAGAAGCATCCCCTCCCAACAAGCTGCTCCCCTTTTTACCTGGTACGTATGGGGGGTTCTCAAGCTTGTTGTTTGGACAATCTTCCAAGGAACCATCCACAAAATTTGATGGCTCATTCATGTCCTAGAGGAAGGAATAGAAGTAGGTTTATGTGTCATATTTTCTTCTAAATTACAACTTCCAAGTCAGGAAAGTGATTTTAAAGAACCAAAAGCGCCATCCAACCAAAGGGAAAATCTCCCAAACGTTCAGCATTCAAGTCCCAGGCTTGGAAACTCACTATCCACATGCCGTCAAAGGGCACTTTGTCATGGAAATCCTTGACCATGTCATACCACCACTGGTGAGTCTCTGGGTTGGTGAAATCAGGGAAGACAGTGGGCCCAGGCCAAACCTAGAAGATCAAAACCAGAGCTATGAGTATAAATCTGTAAACCTTCTGTATATGCTACCGTGATGCATTTTAGTATATCTTTGGAGATGAAGCAATAAAAAAGTTATCAGGCTAATTATCAGAATTTAAAAAATTGTTTTAAAGTTGAACCCATTGTCTTTACATGATGTTGTATCTTTGGAGATGGAGCAATAAAAAAGTTAACAGGCTAATTATCAGAATAAAAAAAATGTTTTAAAGTTGAACCCATCGCCCTTTCATGATGTTGTTTAATAGCGAAACTATAAACGCAGCTGCATTCAACATGTGTATCTTCATATCTGGATTTCAATGGCTCAAGATCAAAGGAAGACATGAAATATGTGAGAAATGTTCACAAGGGAAACAAAAAATATATTGCCTAGCTCCTTTGTTCTATTCTTCTTTCAAGATCTATTAGACTACAGACTTAAATTTCACCACATGGCACCTCCCCCACTGAAGCGTCATCCTTTCTCTACCAAGGCTCAAGGCAGGAGTGTCCATAGCAGTGGTCACTGGTTTCAGGATGGCAGGGCTGACTGTCCAAATGAAACCCATTACATTTTAATATGATTTGTGTATACATACATACATGTAAACAGGAACAGGGCTTTGATTGCCCAGTCACGCCTGCCATTTTGAACCAGTGACTGCTTCTGTCCTGGCCCCTGTCCATGGGTGATCTCAAATCTCACCCTTCCAATCAAAGGTTGTCCTGTCGCATTTACGATGAAGACCCCCCGCTTCAGGCCTTCATCATAAGGCCTATAACTGCCAGGGGGACTGGAACTGCTGATCCCTGGATCCTACAAGGAAACAGAGGGAGAGACATCTGTTTAGCTATAATGAATCTGATGGGAGTATGAAAATGTGAAGGGGACAGGACACCGTTGTCTCAAGCAAGGGAACAAAACACATACTCTTTCAAACTTTGGCAGTATTTCAGAGTTGGGAGACAGATTGTCAAAAAAGCACACGAGGCATAGGAAATGAACATGCCTTTATTTATACGTGGAAAGTCCAGATTATGACATTTTCACAGTGTGAAAAACAGAAGCAAACTTGACATTTTAGGAGGAAGAGGAACATCCATTACTGAAGTTGGGCAACAGCACACAGCTTGTGGATTATCACATTCTAAATGCAACACATGGATGGAACATTAAAAGGTCATAAAGAGAGCAACCCATTACGTGAGTATGGAAAGTCATTCATACTGCTGTTGCTTTTCTAAAAGTTGAAATACACAAACATATAAAGTTCTCTGTGCTTTCTAGGTCTGTGTAATTTTCCTTTCTACTCTAAAAAGCAGAGATGGGCAATCTGAGGCCTCAGGACTGAGTGCAGTTTCCCAACCCTTTATTCCATTATTATTAAAAATCTACAGTGTTGATTCCTGCCATTTGGAAACAGAAACCATACTGAAATTGCAAAGTACCACATAAGCTAATCCCTTCACAATTGAACAAACAAAAACCCAAAATCCTTTGGGGGAGGGGAAAAAATCAGACCAACCCAATCTTACTGACATATGTAAGAAAGCCACATTGATATTGTACCATCACCTGTCTGCTTCCCTTCCAGATTTTCAGTAGAGGCTTCTTTGAGAAAGCTACTTTCTTCATTGTCTCAAACAGAAATAATTTTTCAATTCATATAACCCCACCTATGAAAAGTTTGCAAATGTGATATAATACATAATAATACATAATAATGTGATATAATAATCCTTGACTTACAACCACAATTGAGCCCAAAATTTCTGTTGCTAAGCGAGACATTTGTTAAAGAGAATTTTATCTCATTGTACAATCTTTCTTGCCACAGTTGTTAAGTGAATCACTGCACCTATTAAATTAGTAACAGGGTTGTTAAGTGAATCTGGCTTCCCCCATTGACTATTCTCGTCAGAAGGTCACAAAATGTGATCACATGACCTTGGGACATTTCAATATGAGTCATTTGGCAAGCTTCTGAATTTTGATCATGTGACCATGGGGACGCTGTTGTGCAGTTGCGACTTTTGAGCAGTCAACTAAACAAATCGTTGTAAGTTGAGGACTACCTGTATTCATTTGGCTCAGGGAAGGGGAAGAATACTGAGAAAATATATTTGTCCTGGAAAAGTAGAAAGCTGGAAAGCAGCTCAAAACAACTTTGCTTTGGTTGTGTTAGGTATAAGTTGAAATACTGACAAGCGTTCAAGATTCTGTTAGATTACCATAAAGACATTGAATTACATTCCAATATTTCTAGCAACTGATTGGGCCTCCTCAAATATAGGCTGATATGTGACAAGGAACTCTGCCTTAGAGAATCTCCAGCCAAACAAGGAATCCTTCCTAAACTGGAAGACCCTAGATCAGTGGTTCTCAACCTTTTTAATGCTGCGACCCCCAACCGGTCGTAAATCGAGGACTAAACTGGTCGTAAGTCAAGGACTAAACCGGTCGTAAGTCGAGGACTACCCAACCGGTCGTAAGTCAAGGACTTTCCCTGTCCAGGAGCACCACGCATGCGTGGTGCCGCCCCCTGCGCCGGCCGAGGTGTAGCTGGCAAGCGGCAGAGACGGAGTAGGCCGACCACCGGCTGGGCCACCAGCTGGCCCAGCCCAAGGGAGGTAAGGCACCCGCCGGAAAAGGGGAAAAAAATGGCAGACAGCCTTGCTTGGCGACCCCCGTGAAATGATCGATCGACCCCAAATGGGGTCACGACCCATAGGTTGAGAACCGCTGCCCTAGATTGCATTTTCCTTCCAAAAGACTCACTCACTGCATTAGGGAGGGCTGGACATAGAACTGCATCATCTACTTCTGTGGAACAAAACTAGCAGATTTTGCAAACTCTTCAAGAGCATGCAACATATGAGAGGGCTGCAAAGCAAAGACAGAATATTATAATTAGTATCATTTCTGGAATTACATTCAATGTTATCTACCTCTTTTGGGTCAGGGCAGCAGTATCAAAATCTGACAACTGATCTAGATCAACTTCCACACAGCAATATTTTCAACCGCTGTGAGTCCCTCAGAGGAGAATTCAGGATTCATTAACTTACCACAATCATGACATACCTCCGACCATCACGATGGAAATCATTCACCATGTCTGGCATATCCCTGAAACCATCCTTGTTGAAGGTGAAGTCTCGCTTAGCGTCCATATAATCCAGATCATTCCACTGTACATCCTATGAGCCCAGGAATGAGATTCTGGTGAAAGCAGGTTTGCGTCCCACCTCACTTTTTCTCTAAGAACAAATATTCTCTCTGAATGATTACACTGACAGGGCAGCTGTACTACTTCATACAGGTTGGGTATCCATACATTAGCCCATGATCTGTTTTATAATGGTTTATTAAGTAAATTAGCTGAATTGAAACAATCCATTAATCATTCAATCTTGACACAATCCATTAACCCTCATTTACAAAAATTGATATCTGAATTCACAAAACACACCAAGCTAAAACCAACTCAGAAGTTTTGGTAGAATCCCTTTTTTATTTTACTGTGATTTGTAGGCTTTATTTATTTATTTATCTATCTATTTATTTGTACTCTGCCTTTATTATTTTTACAAATAACTCACGGTGGCAAACACATCCAAACGTAATTTCTTCCTCCTATTTTCCCCACAACAACAATCCTGTGGGGTGGGGTGGGCTGAGAGAGAGTGACTGGCCCAAAGTCACCTATTGGCTTTCATAGCTAAGACAGGACTAGAACTCATGGCTTCCTGTTTTCTAGCTTGATGTCTTCACCACAAACCGGCTCTCTTTTGTACAGAAATATTTGCTGAACTGCACCTTTTAACTTGCCTTTCCCTTTATATGTTCATTAATATGAAATTGGGCCTGTCGTCATTATAATTTTGTTGTTGCATCGAGTTTCTTAATCTCTGATTGCAGGAGATTGCCTGAGCAATTGATAGGGCATCGGAAAAGAACCTCTAAACTTAATAAAATACAATCACATTAGGGAAATATATAAGCCAGTCCAAGGGCCAGAGAGAAGCTATAGTCAGATGGAATTCAGAGAAGGCACCTACCAGGGGGAAAAGAGCTGCAGTCATGTTTTTCACCACTTCCTGGGTAATAGCAGTGGAAGTGTATCCCCAGCGACACAGATGGAATCCGAGAGCCCAGTAAGGAGGCATGAATGGGTAACCTGGAGGAATTTTGAGAAGGGGGGGGAAGAGAGAATCAACATTCAAAACCTCTCAAAACCTTCAGCACTCCCAAATCTCTCATAGAAAAAGAGTTTCAATAAAATACTCACAATATGTCTGGACCTTTCAACCCTAAACCCAACCTACCATAACTATTTTAAAGGTTATGCTTATATCTAAGACTCTGTTTTGGGTTGCAGCTTTGGTGTATAAAGGGTTGCTTCTAATACCTAAACTAAGTTGGGATATGAAGTAGAAAAAGACAGAAAAATGTCATTACAGACCCTGTGATTTAGACTCTTCATAGATAAAGTGATTTTTTTAAAAAAAACGTACAAAGAATAGATAAAATAGGCTTAAGTCTCGCTTCACACATGGAAAGGTACAAATGCTTACCAATAACGTCCATGTACTGGCGCACCACACTGCTTGGGTCTGGGCCCAAGAAGATATAGAAATCCAAGATACCCCCAATAGTTCTCCATGTCAGCGCTGGACTGGGCTGCAGTAACACATCTACAAGACAAACAGTGGCTTGGAATCACTACTAGAAGGACACAGCACACCATCCACACATTACAGAGACACTGACAGGATTTTACTCCTACAACCTCCATACAGCCACCATATTTCATTATCAGACACTCAGCCTTGGTTTGCTGCTTAATGGCTACTCTTGCCTCTATGCCAGGGGTGTCAAACTCAATTTCACTGAGGGCCGCATCAGCATTGCGGTTGCCTGGGGTAGATGGGTGTGTGTGGCCAGAGTGGGTGCAGCCTACTGGGTGGGTGTGGATGGAGTGGGCGTGGCCTAATGGGTGGGCATGGCCAGTTCTACATCATTCGCATCAAGGGTGCCTGTGGGGGCCTGGGCAGGAGTGGGACAGATCTGAGGGTCTCTGGCAGAAGGGGGTGGGACTGGGGTAAGTGCCAAGATGGCCACCACAAAATTGTACATTGGCTCTCGACAGGCCTGGGCCAGGGTCAAGGCAGCGGGGGCCGTTCCTTCACTGTTTCCAGGATGGCTTCGCGGGCTACATGAAATCACTTTGCGGGCCGCATCCGGCCCCCGGGCCTTGTGTTTGACATGTCTGCTCTATGCTGACAATGAGACTGTTGCCCACATTAAAGCCAGTTCCCTTTAATAGAAAGAGGTACAAATATTGTTCTTTAACATTTAGCAGATATTGAGGAAAGAAAAGGAAACTTAAATAGCATTTTCCAGATCGGAATCTTAATGCAATTAGCATTATGGTCTTAATTCTCAATATAAATAGTCAGGGTTACGCTATTATACAGTGTAAGTAATCACAAAATAGCAGTTAATAGAACAAGCTAAACTGCTGAGGCTGAAAAGCAATTACAGGATCCAAACCTTAATTAGTAGACCGCTTTGATTAGCAGACCAGTTTGGTTTAGTGATAACGGGATCAGGCTAGAAACCAGGAGAGTGTGAGTTCAAGTGCTGGCTTTCACGGCTAAGGGAGCCTTAGCCGTGAAAGCCAGCTGGGTGATCTTGGGCTAGTCGCTCTTTCTCAACCCAACTCACCTCATAAATAAAAATAAAAATTATAAGACAAAGTCAGAATCTCCACTCCTTCAAATCACAAAATAGCTCCTTCAAATACACATGACTTGGGCACACATAAATCATCATTAGGTTACTTTGATCATATCTAAGTTTGACCCATGAGGGATGTCATCTGATACAATACTTACCCATAGCATTGCTGTTCAGTAAGAAGACTCCGTGGGCCAAGCCACCCTTTTCTAAAGCCACGTAGAAGGGGTGTGAACCATACAAATTGGCAGAGGGCTAAAAACACAAAATAATACCGCATAGGGTCAAGGTTGTGTAGGACAACAGGAACACTTCAGCAATGTCTTGGGCTTTAGCACCTCTTTAGTCGTCTCAAATATCAAACACTTTTTCCATGATGGTCCTTTTTCACTATTTTTTTTTAAATTCAAGTGTCAATTAAATGACAACTTAAAAAGTCTATCAAGCAATGGATCAAGCAAGCTTTTGACCTGGTTTCCCAGACTTCCAGACAGAGCCAATCTCCACTACAGGATTATATCTGTCATGGTTCTTGCCAAGAATGTGGGGTTTCATAGGTAAATGAGATGCTGAAAATGCTCTCCAGAGGTCTCAAAAGCATTGCAGAAAACTACAGTTCCCATGGGAAGGAGGAATTGCAGTTTAAAGCTGATTAAATAGTAGAATGCCCAGGTAAGATCTGTCACCAAATCTTCCAATGTGATACTACAATACTCAGAATTCCAACCAAAATACAGAACTTCGTTCTATTTGTCATTATTTCTTCGTCAAAAGTCTCTACTATCATATGGCCATTGAATGTTATCTTACATTTCACTGGGTATGCTTGTGATTTTTTTTACCCCTCATTTTTTCTAAATTTTTGCAAACTTTGCACAAAATACTAGAATTATTCCTATGAAATTTGTGCATCAGAGCATGCTAAATCTGTCATTAGAACTGAGCGTATAAGCTTAAGATCAGATGATGACTGCATAGCACCCTGATTAAATTCTTAGAGAACCTGTCCCTTGAGGAAACCTTGTCCACCCTCCTATCATTTACCGCAGGTGATATGTCCCGGTTCCACAAAGTAATTTTGGTCCAATTGACATTCAGAGTAAGAGGGGTCAGATGTTCACCCAATCCAGAGATGAAACGTGATGGCAGAGCAGTGGAGATCTGAAGGAACTGGTCAGCATAGAACAGAGGAGCCACAGTAGTATTCAGCCTGTTTGGAAAAAATGGACACTTCCACCAGCAATATACAAATAAGGTCCCCTTTTTCTTTGACTTACCTCAATTTATCTTGGAGGCTACTTCCAAAGCTCTAATCTAATCTAATCTAATCTAATCTAATCCAATCTAATCTAAATCTAATCTCATCTAATCATCTATTAATCTAATCTAATCCAATCCAATCCAGTGACTAGTTGCATAATGATTTTAGGTAAATATCCTCATCCAAGAGAAGGCTATTGCAGTGTTTCCCAAACTTGACAATTTTAAGGCATGTGGACTTCAGCTCCCAGAATTCCACAGCCAGCGTTGCTGGCTGTGGAATTCTGGGAGTTGAAGTCCTCATGCCTTAAAATTGTCAAGTTTGGGAAACACTGGGCTACTGCATGCCTGAATTCATCTTTAAAAATCCAAATATGGAACATGAGGCTCTTGGAGATGCTCCTATCTCCTGTTGTTCAGGATTGTTCAATAAAACTATTTTGTTTCAACAAACCTTCAGATCCTAGGATGATTGTGGGCATTCATCTATCACTGATTATTTCTGGAATGGTTTCTAAATTGTTTGTGAGAGGTTCTATTTGTGGTTTTCTATTTTTGGCACATGGCCAGAATCGGCCTGATTGAGGCCACAGGTAGCTGTGTGAAGAATGTCGTCCGGGATTAGAGATATTGCATGGCAGAAAAGATAAAACTCAACTCAGTGCCTCAATACTGCTGGTTAGAGATGTACTCATTAAAGGCTATTTTACATATATATTAGGTGCACTGCTTCATATGCAAAATATAAATTCCAAATACCTATTTGGAAGAGATGCATATGCATCAAAAGCCTGTAAAGCCTTTTAGGTGAAGGCAAACTCTGGAGTCCAATACGAAAATGGCCCTTCAACTTCCAGAACATAAGCACTGGTTTAGCAATTTCTCTTTTTCTTTCTGTCTCTCTCTCTCTTTCTGTCTCTGTGTGTGTCTCTCTCACACACAAATACACATACACACACATTATATTATCATCATACAGCTATTCAACCTTCATTTTCTGCTAGTGAAATACACTGAATTAGACGAATACTTGGATGAGCAAAGTCCAAAGCTACTTACAGAACTTGGCCATTGGACTGTCGAAAAACAATGAGGCCAAAAGGATCAGCAGAGAACTGCACAGAATAGAGAGTTGAGGATTCCTTACTGGTGGCCTTGGGGGTTTCTAAAGGAACTTCATAGCGTTTTCTAGCTGGATTCTTAAGCTGTGGTAGAAGAGACACAATAACAAACATTGTGTGATGCTACTCCAAAAATTGGTCAGAAAAATTCAGTCAAGCTTCAAAGAGACTTGGCTTCTACTTCAGAATCATTTGTGAGGTGGAAGAAAGAAGGCCGGTGTGAAGTTTGAAGTTACAATGAAATCCAGCTTTTTGATTCAAGGGGGCTTTTTATTGTCTGATTAATTGATTTCCCACCTTCAAATGATCTAATATGACATTTGATATTCCTGCACCCCGTTATTTCTAAAACAGACATCTATAAGCAGAGCCAATTTTAAACAATATAAAATAAATTCAAGGCTGCACTCTTATATGATTTTGTTTGGAAATAAGCATTAATCACTTCTAAGCTTGTAGCATTTCATTTCATTTATAATTTGTTTTTAGATTTCTGAAAATATATACATAATAATTTAGATACGTATATCATACATACAGTACCTACAATATCTACATGTATCTGAAGTATTATCATACGCAGGATATATTTCGGTCACAGAGAAAAGGGATTAATTATGTAGCCCCCACTACAGCTACTAGAAATGTATCTAAGAGTCACAAATAACATAAAGCCATGCTACGCATTATCGTGATTTATTGAATAAACCATAATTAGCTGGATTTACACATATTGGCATTGGCTCAATATCAGCAAAGCAATACTGAAAACTTCAGTTCTTTGCTGCCATCTAGTGATAGCCTAGGCTAGGTAGAGCAATCCTAGCTAGACCATAATTATTCTTCATGCAGTATAGTGACTAAGTTTAAACAAACTAGTAAAAGCCAAATAAACTACGCTTAACCTGATGCTTGTACCCAGCCATGTATTCACTTCTTTAGCTTCTGAAATTATTTTTTAAACATTAATATTCTTAAGAAAGTGAATTCTGGTCCTGGCAATCACATTCTAATCTTTGACAATTCCACAGAATTGCCATAGTCACATAGCTTGGCAATAACTCTCTCTATTTAACTGAAAAGAGATTTATCCTAGGATTAGAGCAGGAACAAACAAAATTTGAGGATTAAGGGCTATAATCCTGATGTTACTAAGAGATGAGTTAGGGACAAAGAACTTGTAAAAAAAAAAATCTAGAACCTTGCTCTTACATACTATATGCGGATAGCAGCAAGAATGCTTTATGCACAAAAATTAGGGAGCTGGGGAGTTACAAAAATCTTCCATGTTTGGTTAATGTCAGAGTGCCTTGGACTTCCTTTTTTTTAAAACAAAACAAAACAATAGTCCCTACTCACCGTGAAGTGAAGCCTCCCCTTGGTCTCAAAGACCACATCCAGCTGCACATTCAGGATGTCATCCGGCATGAAAGAAGGTGCACTGCGGATCAAGTGGGCAGTGTAGCCAGTCTTGGTGGCAGTTAGGTTTGTCATCTTGTAACTAGAGTAATTGGTAGGAAAGAAGCACCATGGCTGCCAACCAGCAGAGCCTTTGGAAGAGACAGGGACGTAACAACATCCCCGAGCTTGACATTCATCTTGAGAGAGAAGCTTCTCTGGGGCACAGTCAAAGCGGCTGTCTGGAGGGATGTTGCACTGTTTAGACATCGACAGGGGTTCCAACTGTTGTTCTAGTTTCTGTTGTGGTACCTCTGAAATCCTGCCATGATTCTTACCCCAGTGATCATTCTCTCTTTTAGAAGCAGCTATGGCTGCCTCTGAGGTCCTAGATAGTCCAAGCAGAGTGATCACAAATGCTAGAGTTGAAATCACCAGCATTGTGTGCTTCTTCCACCACAACCTCTGTCGGGCATTAAATCACCATGGAGAAAGGCAGGAGTTTGCTCCTCAGCAAGTATAGGACAGTCAGTCTCCAGCTGCAGAGGAGATGCAATCAGACACAAACTATGAATTCCTGGCTTGTGCTATGTTCTCCAGTTTGACTATTCTTAAGAACCTATCCCTTGTATTCAAGTGGGGAAGTCCCTGATGAATGTCTGTCAAGCCTAGAGAATCTAAAAGTTATTCCTTTGTATTCAATATTGATTCCAATCAAAACAATGATATCCCACTGTTGTGGCTCAAAAAGCAACAGGCCTATTGAGCATTTTCCCTTCTATGCTATATCAATCCTGTAGAGCTGTATGTGCTGATTTCCCGCAGGATTTCCTGTGTCAGGAAATCTTACAACAGCCTTGAAAGCACTTTGAGCAGAGAAACCAAGAAGACAGGCATTTTCCTATAGGCAAGACAGACTCCATGTTGCTTATAGAGATATTATCATGTTATGATTCTGGATACAATCTAATATTAACTGGAGATGATTAACATTTTATTATTTAGAAACCAGTGATGAGAATACAAAAAATGTTCTATCAATATTAATTACAATTGAGGATGCTATTTTTCCAAGCATAAATTTCTGCCTTTTTGGCTTCTCAGTGTTGATTTGAGGTACCAGGTTAAAAAATAGAAGACCAATTTCAAGTCCTGCCCTAGGGATAAAAGCCAGCTCGGTGATCTTGAGGAGAGTGATCAGTCACTCTCCCGCAGCCCAATCCACCTCACAGGGTTGTTGTTATGGGGAATAAAGGAGGAGGTAGGTATGTTGGATATATTCACTGCCATAAGCTATTTATAAAACGAATAAAGGCAGGATATTAAATAAATAAATAAAAAACAAACAAACAAACATTTGTGAAAATGTGGTCACTGTAAGAAGAGAGCAATATTATTCTGCAGTAACTAACAATCAGGAACCTGGTAGCATTTTTTCAAACTCGTAAGTGTTATTAAAACATACAAGTAAGCCTTTGTGAGCTGCAGCCGACTTCCTCAACTGCATCTGACGAAAGTTTCGGCCATTACATTTGTTAGTCTGAATAAGTGCTATTAGATTCCTTCGAATTAGTGTGAAAATGTACAGGTTTTTTTTTTTTCCTACTCGTTGACCCTAGCCAAAGTAAATCCCACAGCAATTCTATCGCCCCGCCCCATTCACAATTACCATTATCAGGATTTTGGCCAGGCCGCACACACACCCACAACCGAAATATTCACTTACGCGAAGTAACAGAAGCTTCTGCAATCAGCCCGACCCGAAAGAAACAAATAGAGTGAAGAGTTTTCAACAGATCACGTGAATAACGGCTCACGTGACTAAAATTTTCTCCTTTCTCCTATCAGGACTGTCTCACCAAACGGGCTCGTCGAATGAGTTGGATGTTCCTGCAAAAAATCCAGACATCCGCCAGATGCCAGCAAAGGGTTAGGATTTTGCTTTCTCTCGTTGCCATCCGGCTTTTTCTCGTTGTCGTCCGGAGATGGCAGGCCCGCAGAAAAGGGCTTCGGTTGGAAGGGGTTTCTCTATTAAGAGTCCTTTAAATGAGGCGACAACACACAATGGTGCGTCATGGAAGAGCTTTCCCGGTGCAAACATTTATGATAGGTGTACCTTTTCTAGAGAAAGTAGGACAAATCTGCAAAACGTTTGGACGAGTTGCACTCCGTCTCTTTTCACACATTAGCACTCTGTTAACAAACAACCCCCCTCGCATCTGTTTCCAAATATTGTGTTTCTTTTAGAGATTACGGGGTTTTTTGGTGATAATAATGAAAACGTTCATTCTACTCCCATTTACTTGCAAACGCAGGTCTGCTTTTTAAAATTGCTTATTAAAGAAATGCCATAACCATTCTTGGGGTTCAGTTCGGTAGAATTTGGAGGCGGATAATTAAATCTTGTCAACTTTTAGCCCTTGCTGTTTCTGTGTACACTTGCTAGTTTTTATTAGTTACTGTTCTAAACTGAAGACAGAAGGCAAGTGTACTATTGGATGGCTTTGCATAATTTATTAAGACTGTTTCATAGAACACTTGTATTTTGGAATATAGGAGATAGAAAATGCACAACTATTAAAATTGGTTATATGTAAAATAAAATATGTCTTTGGCTTAAAATTGTATGAGTTTAGCCCTCTCTGAGATTCACTCAGATCATTGAATGATTATGAATCGACTTAATTAAAATTGCTTCTGGAATTTGATTTATTGATAAAATAACAATGAAGCTTGGGACATAGAAGAGATTTAAAATCAAAATGGGACCATTGCTTTAAACATTTCAAATAAGATATATAAACTTAAAAGAACAAGAAAAGGGGATAAAAGAGTAAAATTTAAGTGAATAAATGCAGGATTTTAGTATGTTATGAACATTACGATTCTCCAATGTGTTGTTAGTTCTGAGTTTGTAAAAGATTTAAACTTGCTGTTAAGATAAGCATGATTGTCAAGAATAACAATCAACAATTTAATTCACCAAATAAGATTATAAACTACAATAATTTAATCCAAATTACTAAAATTATCAAATCCATAAGTAAAGTATTTTGAGTCTTACACATATTGTATTAAGTTGTAATCTAAGAAAAGCTTGAAGTGAATTCTGTGTCAAATTTACTTTTAAAATACAAGTTTATTTCAGACATTGATGCATACTTCCAGAATTTAGTTCATCATTCTTTCACTGAGGGAATCCCTTATAGCAGTTAGCACATACAAAGCTAATTTAGTATATTTTGAAGAAATAATGTGACCAACCGTCCTCCTTTAGGGAGGACAGTCCTCCTTTTGTGAGTTCTGTCCTCCCTCAAAAAGTGTCCTCCTACATGTCCTCCTATTCGATATTTGAAGACTAATCTGGAGGGCTTTTTTTTTTCTCATAGAACGCTCAGAACGGTGTTCCAGCACCTTTTTTTTTATGGTTTTTTTTCAACTTTTGCATGAGCTGTGCTACTCCCCCTATTGGCTTCCGAAAGCCAATAGGAATTGCTGCTGTGAGCACCAAAACACCCAGCTGGCAAACTTTGCACAAGTAAGTTGTCTGCAGCAAAGGCGAATTGGCAGGAACTTTGCACCCCTCCCTGCTACCCAACTACACCATCTCCGAGTTAGTCCTGAAAATACCTGGAGGAGACTGGAGCGGCAACGCCATGGTAACTTTCTCTTGATCTTCGGCCCTGCTAGGGCAATAATGGCTGCGGGTGCAAGAGGGAGGGGCGACGGGGCTGCTGTGGGCAGGGGTGTGAGGGGTGGCGGTGGCCGACTGCCCCCCCGTGCTATGGGAGCCACAGGGTCTGCTCTACATGGCGGGGCAGCAGTGCTGGCGGGGCGACTGCAGGCGGGGGCCCGGCATGTAAGCATAATTACAATATAAAATGTTATTGTTACAAATGTTTTTTATTATGCATTTATCATATTATAGTGTATTCTGTATTATTGTTGCAATAAATAAAATGTTTCTTTTATTTACGATATTTTTTCTTCAATTTATTTGTGTCCTTTTCATTGTAAAAAAGTTGGTCACCTTAAGAAAGAGATGTACAATATGTTTAAGAAGGTTTAACAAAAATATTGTAGGTTGAAAAGGGAATGTTAACTTTTAAGAACTGTTTCATTCTACTATGAATCATTTCCAAAACTTAGGAGTTTTACAATATTGTCACCAAATATGAAAGTATGATTTCATCTGGTCATTAAATTTCCAACATTTTAGAGAACGATATGTCCTTTTTAGCAATGACAGCTGGAGTAATATACCGATAGTAAATATACCATGTTATTCCATAATACATGGAAGAAATTCAATGTTTTTCCATTAAAATGTTCTTTGTTGCAGATCTGTAACTGCATTCAAATTCTGTAGCTATTTAAGAATGTAGTCCTGCAAATTGGAATATGTTCTTAGACCAGTGATAGCGAACTTTTTAGAGATCGAGTGCCCAAACTGCAACCCAAAACCCATTTATATATCGTCGGGTGCCGGGTGGGTGTGGCCCATTGGGTGGGCATGGCTCATTGAGTGGGTGTGGCTTCGGTAATAATGGCAGACTGGGTGGGACTAAAAAGTTCAATCAATTCCAACTTTGCAAGATCTTTTTTTTCCCCACGAGATGTTGAAATTGATTGATTGATTGAACCTCTTTTTTTGCACATGGCAATGGAGGCCTAAAGCAAAAAGTTTTTATAAAACCCAGCTGAAGGCTTGGGACTGGGGTGACGGTGCCCGTGCCCACAGAGAGGGCTCTGTGTGCCACCTATGGCATGCATGCTAAAGGTTCGCCGCCAGTCTTAGACCAATCAAGCTTTTCATTGTGCTGTAATTTTGCATCATGTTCAAAGTATAGGGTTTAAAGACTATGTCTAAGGATGATTTTGAAATAAAAAGTCTACAGTTGAAAAAGCTTGGCTGAGATGAGCCCATCCTACAATTTCTCTAAAATAATAGGAAGCTACATTTTAAAATTGCTGCAGCCATTTTTTTAATTAATGATTTTGCAGAACTAATATGTACAAAAAAAACCTGATAGAAAAGTGTTTGTTTTTCGACATGAGAAATATAAAAATGTTGGGATGGTTTATGTAAAAGAAATGTTTTCTCTGGTTTGTCTTTTTTTTCTTTCTTTTTTACTCTTTTTTTTAAGATATGAGAAATGTAAAAATGTGGCTTGTATGAGAAAAAAGACTTAAATACTTAAGTGTAATTAATTTTGAGAAAATCTTAACCAGTAAGAATGTTTTGAATATTGTGGGGAAAACAAATTTAAATAAGAATGTAAACAGGAATTATGATGAGGCAATCAAGATGATCAATGAAAAGAAGCTTTATATTGATGTGGTTATTATTTGCAGAAACATGAGAAAAATGTTTACATTTAATTGTCATTTATTTAAATAAGAGCTGTATTAATTTAAGGTTGGCAAAAGAGACTATTATAGGACTATAGAATTATAGAAATTAATTGTGATTGTTTTTTAAACACTAACCCAGACATGATGTTTACCAAATATTAAGCTGTATGTTAAAAATAAAGCATATTTTTTAAAAAAAACAAAATCTGATAGACTACAGGTAGTACTTGACTTCCAAATTCAATTGTGATCAGATTTGTGCTTGTTGAGCAAAACTGTCACTTTGCTCAAGGACCACAATCCCGGCTCTCCCAATTGTGGTTGTTGAGCAAAGAATAGGAAGCTGTGCCTTGGATCTGCTTGGGTGTGCTTGTCAGCAGCTGTAGAAAAATGCAAAGATAAGTGAACCCAGGTGTGGGTTGGAGAAAAGTGGTCAGGGAGCAGGTCAAGGCCTCCAGGGCCAAGATAGCTTTGCAAAGGCTGGGTGAACAGCTGAGATGGGAAGAGAGAGGCAGGTACAGGAAGTTTTCATCTATATTGAGCTCCAATCAGTGGCAAGGAACTACGAAGATAAAATTGTAACAGCATCAGATTGCCTATCATTGGGTATAATATAGTAGGTACAGCTGTATCTGCCAAATTCTTTGTTAACTTGAGTAAAATGAAAAAAAGTCATCTTAGGGCAGAGTTCCCCAACCTTTCCAGCTTTGCGGACTGGTGGGGGAGGAGAGGGGATGGTTCTGCATGAGCAGCTGGCAAGTGTGTAGCTGCACATGAAGCTTCATTTGTGAGCAACAGTTAAGTGCGTGCACAGCTGCATTTGCATGAGCGGCAGTTAAGCATGTGTATGTGCAGCTGCACTGGAATGAGCAGCAGGCAAGTGCATGCACAGCTCCATTTGCGAGTGGCAGACAAGTGTGCCCATTGCTCGCACAAATGGAGTGCATCTGCACATGCTCAGCTGCTGCTCATGCAAGTGGGGATGCGCACACGCTCACCCATCGCTTCCATGGCCTGGTTCTGAACAGTTCACTGCCCAGTAGTGGGCCATGGACCAGAGTTGTGGACCCCTGCTTTAGGGTTCCATCTTTGGTTTAATACAGAGCGTTAAGCTATGATCTGTTCTTTTCCTTTGGATAAGTATGTATCTACTCATTGTGATTTAGTATTATGTGTAAATATGCCATTATGGCCTGTTCAACATGTTTAATAAATTACATGTGAATCCAACTGTCAGTCTTAATGCAGCTTAGTCATCTTAGGGCAAAACTATACAAAATATAGTTTTGACCTGGGGGTGGAATTATCTGCAATGAAATCTCTCAAAGTTTATCTGCAAACAGGGATACATCATCATGCACATCTAATTTACAGCTACCTTCTTCTCAGTTGATCCCTGCACTTTAAATGAAAATGGGAGAATTTTCATCATATTGAGATTTAATATTCCCCCCATCCTCCAGTGTCATGAGGGATGAACAACTTTGCCCAGAAAAAGAAAATCTTATCCCCTGTTGACTGCTGATTGGAAATTTTTCTTCATGTGGTGTTGAGAAAGTGAACTTTCCTTAAATGAGCTTTTATCTTGTCAATTGCTGATCAGAGGAGCTGTCTTAGCATTCAGGGGCTGAGGAAAGGAGGAAGACATTAGGAGAACAATCAAATGGAAAGCTTTGCAATTACATTTCACCATAATGTTCTCTCATGGAATCTGAATGTTTTTCAGAAGGGTTCTTTATTCTATGGAAAATTTCAACATTCCTTCCAACAAATAACAATTCCTAGATTAACAGAACTAAACAAGAAAATAAGAATCTAAATTGTCTTTTTATTTAAGACAGAAAAACAATGCAATGGAAAAAGCAAACTTTGAATATAAAATTGACTCACTTCTTTTTAAACCACAACTACCCTGTCTATTCCCCATCTTTCTCTTTCCTATATACTATCCACTGACAAGCTGTCAGGAAATAACATTCCAGTTATTCTCACACTGATATTTTGAAAATGTCCAGCTCTATTTTTCTTCAGCTTGATCCTGGGCACTCAGTTCTTCCAGTTTCTGAGTTATTACTTGGTTAATTCTGTGCAATGTCTTATGATAATGAGGATACTCATGGTCAATCTGATAGAGAACAGTGTTCAGAGTTCGCAGTCTCTCCTCCACTTTATGATGTTCAACACGGGCCATTATCTCAGAACGACATAGTAGGCTGTACTTCCCTTCCTTCACGGCCTGCATGTTCTTCACGCGTGTCTGATTGGACACAATATCTGAAAGGTTCTTAGAAAAGCAACATTGAATTTGTTATTAGAGACAAAAGGCTGCAGGCAAGGAAGGAAGGAATAAATCCCCTCTGATGCATCTTGAGACTGAATCAACCAATGAGCAAAAATCTAGATAGCCTGGGCTTAATACAAGATTAAACTTTTTTTTTAAGTAGACAGGGTCCCAGAAGAAAAATTG